CATTGAAAATCATAACTATAGATGATCAGTTATTAGTATTGATTGAGCTGGCAAGCTTAGTACCAATCAATGTTGCAAAAATATAATGCATGAGTTCATTGATCAACAGACTAATGGAAAGTGGGTTAACATAAGTAACAACTAGTCATTGAAGTTGAAGTGAATAGGGGTATTAACAACAGGCTATACTTCTGAACTCTACCTCACCGATGTGGAACTAGAGTCTGGTTCGGTAATGGTGCTACTTTAATAGTAGACCTAATTTCAAAATGATAGATTCGTCTTGATGTGACTACCTTATCCATAAAATCTTACACGGAAGTCCCATCGTTCTCTACACCGACTCTACATATCGTGACAATCAGCAACATAACGTTTAGCACTTACGAAGAATTATATATATATAATAATATATAATGTAGGCATTTATGGGTTACACAAAAAACAACCACGCCTGCAGAGCTGAGCCATGCCATGACTAACAATTGTTCCTGCATCCCCTATCGTTGGCCTCCTCCAAGTGTTAGATGTTGAAGGTAAGTCATTTCAGTAGTTATACGCTCAGCTTCAAAGATTTTGTTGTTAGAATCCAATACCACTACAAGCAGTAATCTTCGTTCTGCATATCATGATAGTGAAATTCTGCACTTTTATACTAGAGTATTTTTGACAGATATTAGTTGTGAACTGTCACGTATATAATGCATATAATGCCAGATGGAATACATCTAATTCTTTTCAACGCTTCTGGAAATATATGGTTAATTATTTCTGGGTTTTCAAAATTCTCGAGGTCAGAATTGTTCGAATCATTGATGATTTTTAAGGTGAACAATAATAATTGTTTTTGTTAGAATTTCTTCCTGGTTTCTCTTAGAACTCCTACCGATGACGTAATATAGTTCATATCAAAATTATTATGGTAGACATGGCTACAGGTGATCACCCTGTACATTCTTATTTGAATGAAAGAATATGTCTTCGGTTGGAAGGTCAATATCCACATTAATGAACCGTTTCTTGTAGGCAGATAATTATGTGACTTCTACGTTTTATGGATTAGGCAGTCATATCATGACAAATCCACAATTTTAGTATTAGGCCGTTTATAATAACAGCACTAATAACGAACTTAGACCACAATTCTACAAAGCAACAGGGATTATGTCCGTCTTTATATACATCCATTAACGAAACAAACGATGAAGAGAAGTTATGTTTAAGTTCAGGACGTAGAACTAACATATTTGCCGTTATCACTGACATAATCTATCAAGATAGTTTTCTAAGTCAAATGTAGGGGCGAAAGATTTAACGCGAAGAAGCTGTAAATTTTCCCACAGTTTTCTGATGATTCTACTCATGTGCTTCAGTAATAAAACTATTCGGAGCTTTCTTTTTCGCCTGATCAAAGAGAAAATCCTTCGCACATGTAGTTTTTGGAACTATCCGCAGATATTCCTATGGTTTAGAACATGGACGAGAGCATTACAGAGACCTGCAGTTTTCTTTCAGAAAATATAAGGTATCTCCTTGACGAAACGAGCCTCAGTACCGGTCGATTTTATGTAATCGGACCTTAATAGCATATGTTGCAAGTTCGGGGAAATATTGATCGTCAGATAAGCTTGTGTGTTAAGTCACTCATAACCCAGAAATAATTACGTATGAGTCACGAAGAAGTTTAAAAACTTTGTTTCCCAGTCACTTCTACCAAAATGATCTTAAAGTCGACCAAGGAAAGAAGATAAAAGCTATTACGAGGTAATGTGCTGAGTGTCTTCTATTGTAGTTAATTATAGGAGGAAATATGTCCGGTATTTAGCTTGAATGTCACTAATGGGGGATATTTATGTTATGTCCAGCAATACTCATACTGTCATAATTATTGTAGAATGCTTGCAAAACTGAATACCTTAGGGAATTTTTCACCCCAAAAACAAGCTTCAGTTTTCAGCAACGACTAATTCAAATGACCGAAATGCTCATATCATTCGAATTTCTGACGAGAGCTAATTATTTCACACGTCACATTTTTGGTAGCAGAAGCCCAATAGAGAAATTAAAGCAATAGATGTTATAAGTTTGTTTAGATAAGCTTGGCACGGAACTGTCAGAAGGTCTTCATTTAGAAGAGTTATGACGCTTCATGATGAAAGCCGAGTTCCTTCAAATGTCACGAGGCCGATGCTCCTCCTCACAACCAGAGCAGCCACTTATTTAGGTACATGGAATACTCGTACAATGTGGGACACTGGGAGAGTCTTACAAATTGCTGCAGAAATGAGAAGGTACAACCTAGAGGTGCTTGGAATCAGTGAAACACATTGGACGAAAGTTGGACAACAACGACTAGATTGAGGGGAGCTTCTGTTATACTCCGGCCATGAAGAAGAAAATGCTCCACATACACAAGCAGTTGCATTGATGCTGTCCAAACAAGCACAAAAGGCACTTATAGGATGGGAATCTCATGGACCAAGGATCATCAAAGCCTCCTTCAAAGGAAAGAAAGAAAGGGGGTATTTCAATGAAAGTCATCCAATGCTATGCGCCTACCAACGATTAAAATGAAGACGCTAAAGATCAATTCTACAGTAGGCTGCAGTCAATCGTCGAGAAGTGCCCAACAAAGGACCTGACCATTCTGATGGGAGATTTAAATGACAAGGTTGGAACGGATAACACTGGATATGAAGACATCATGGGACGACACGGACTGGGAGGAAGGAACGAAAATGGTGAGAGGTTTGCAAACCTATGTGCCTTCAATAAACTGGTCATAGGCTGCACCATATTCCCACATAAACGCATACACAAAACCACGTCGACTTCACCGGATCACACTACGCAAAACCAAATCGACCATATCTGCATCAACAAAAAGTTCAGGATGACAATGGAGGACGTGAGAACTAAAAGAAGAGCTGATGTAACATTATATCATCACTTGCTGGTCGCCAAGATGAAATCGAAACTCAAGAAGCACTGAACAATGTGGCGGACAACATCACAAATGTTCAGTACGGCCTTTCTTCAGGATACTAACAAACTCAACAAATTCAAGATAGTCCTCAGCAACAAGATCCAGGCCTTTCATGATCTACTCAATGGAGAGGGAACTACTTTAGAGAGCAACCGGAAGGGGATAAAAAAGGCAATCACCTCAATATGTCATGAGGTTCTGGGACACAAGAAGCACCATCACAAGGAATGGATCACTGTTAATACACTGGATAAGATTCAAGAAAGGAGGAACAAGAAGGCAGCAATCAATACCAGTCGAACATGAGCAGAAAAAGACAGAAGTCAACAAGCAAGTGAAGAGGAGCATCAGAACTGACAAACGTAAATGTGTGGAAGATTTAGCAATGACGGCGGAAAAAGTTACAAGAGAAGGAAACATGAAACAACTGTATGACACAACAAAGAAACTCTTTGGAAATCACCGTAAACCAGAACGACCAGTGAAAAGCAAGGAAGGCAAGGTAATCACCAACATTGAAGAACAACGAAACAGGTGGGTAGAACACTTCAAAGAGCTCTTGAATAGACCAGCCCCACTGAACCCACCCAACATCGAAGTAGCACCCACGAACCTCCCAATCGAGGTTGGCCCACCAACAATTGAAGAAATCAGCATGGCCATTAGACAAATCAAGAGTGGCAAAGCAGAAGGATTCTGTAAGGATAGAAAGTGTACAGACCAAATCGCAACTCTACGGGTAATGGTGGAACAATCAATCGAATGAAATTCATCACTCCACATCAACTTCAATGACTACGAAAATGCATTTTATAGCGTGGACAGGACAACACTATGGAAGCATCTTTGACACTACGGCGTACCTAAGAAGATAGTCAATACCATACGGAATTCTTATGATGAACTAAACTGCAAAATCGTGCATGGAGGACAGGTCACAGACTCGTTCGAAGTAAAGACTGGTGTCAGACGAGGTTGTTTACTCTCACCCTTTCTCTTTCTCCTGGTGGTCGATGGATCATGAAGACGTCAACGTCTGAAGGGAAGGACGGGATACAATAGACATCTAGGATGCAGTTGGACGATTTAGACTTCGCAGATGATCTGGCTCTTCCATCGCACACGCAACAACAAATCTAGGAGAAGACGGCCAGTGTAGCAGCAGCCTCAGCACCAGTAGGTCTCAATATACACAAAGGGAAAAGTAAGATTCTCCGGTACCACACAGCATGCACCAATCCAATCACAATTGACGGAGAAGATTTGGAAGTTGTAAAAACCTTTACACATCTGAGCAGCATCACTGATGAACACGGTACCAGCATATTTACAACTGAAGAACATCTGGAACTCAAAACAACTGTCTGTCAACCAATACCAGGGTCAGAATCTTCAATACAAATGTCAAGACAGTTATACTGTATGGGGCAGAAACCTGGAGAACTACGAAAGCCATCATACAGAAGATACAAATGTTCATTAACAGTTCTCCATGCAAAATACTTCGGATCCCTTGACCAGACACCATCAGCAACAACCTACTATGGGAGAGAACAAACCAGATCCCAGCGAAGAAAGTAATCAGGAATAAGCACTGGAAGTGAATAGGACGCACATAGAGGAAAGCACCCAACTGTGTCACAAGGCAAGCCCTCACATGTAATCCTCAACTCCAAAGGAGAAGAGGAAGACCAAAGAACACATTACGCCGGGAAATGGAGATAGACATGAGAAAAATGAACAAGAATTGGATGGAACTAGAAAGGAAGGCCCAGGACAGAGTGGGTTGGAGAATGCTGGTCGGCGGCCTATGGTCCATTAGGAGTAACAGGAGTAAATAAGTATGTAATAGCAACGTGAAGTAATCAAGAACTAGGATCTTATATGTCTGTGAAGATATTAATATAATCTCGGGTTGAAAAAAACATTATTTCGGTTCTTGATGAGGATCAGAAACACCAAAAAGCTAATTGTCCTAAGCTCGCTATACTTGGTGAAATTATTCCTGAAGGTAATGCCACAGAGCGGGAAGTTCTCAAGTAGACGGTACTTTAAGGTCGTATACTTGTTTCAGTTTTTAGTGTGAATTCTGCCGCACAATCCCCTTTTAGACAAAGCCTCGTGTAAAACACTTGTTTTCTTAACTGACAATAAATTTTAAAATATCATTTGACGTGTCCATAATTTGGTAGGCATAAAAACGACCCACTGTATTTAAAAGGCTCGTTTTCATCACAAACTGACATCATCTACATAATGGACTTGGCAACTAAATCTGTTCAATCCACCCGTTTGTTTTGCTCTTGCTGTTTTAAAAACTTCACTACTGTTGAATGTTTTTCTGATTGTATGTGTGTACTAGTACATATATTCAAACACAATACGTTACGTATAATTGTCGACAAATTTCTCCCAAATACACGGCTTAAGGGGGAAAAATCAAAATTTCCCCTAAATAACCGACGCGAAGCCGAAAAAGCGACAGTTCTTCATTAACGCCTTCGTCTACTTTGTTCATCCTTATTTTCCTTTTATTTGTTGCTTGGGCTAATCATCCTCAAATTTATTGTGCTGAAATATTTCAAAACTTGAAATGTAATATTGCGGGAGTATTCGCACACCGAATATTCCATCGTTTACTGGCACAAGGAAAAGCATCTAAGGTTTTCCGAGCTCACTAGCGAAAGCCGCTTCAGGGTGTTATCGGAAGCAGAGCATAACGATCTAATTGTTAAGTCGCCATGTACCTTGTTTTGGCGTAGCTTCGTCCTTCAGCCAGATGCTAAGACCTATGCGGACATTTTTTACGGCTTATTTTGGTTAGTAAAATTGCTCTGGTTAACATTAACTACTAATCATGGAACTTTAATCCTTGGTATATCACAATTGGAAGGGATGTATAAATGTAACTTCGCATATCCAATGAATCCACATAAACCCCCACAGTTGAATAATACCATCGTTACAACAGAATAAGCGTTTCAGTAGCAAGTTTGTTTCTACAACACAATTTATGAGTTTGGATTATATGAGGCTTTGTTCTGTCACTGTATCACCTTATCCCACTGTGCAGATATGATGAGAAAATTAGAACATGCATATGTGTGCTAATTCCTACGATGTCTATAATCAGTTGACTAACATCTGTAGTTCTGATCCTAATTTCATGTAACCATGAATACCTTGATTTATTTTGGTTTGTTGTTAAAGTTGCAAATATGAAAGTTGGCTTATGTGAACGTTCGGCTAAACCTTCACTGGAAAATTAGATGTGTTCTTCGGTGCCGCCTATTATTAAGCATATATGTCCAGTACTAACCAATTAGTCTACAAAGTCTCTTGATATGAATCTATTTGAAAACAAATTCAGCAGTGATCATAGATTAAGTGATATTATTTTCCTGAATTTTTCTTTCTGTCAAGTAAAACCCGAGCAAATTATTCCGGCTGAAGTGGATTACTTTTTCAAAAATGGTGAGGTCTTTGCATTTGCAAGGAAAAATAAGATAACTAAAAAAGCTTATCATATACTGCAGCAAGAAACATGAGATGTGAGCAGTTTTATGGTACGAGGAACAATACATTATCACATATTTGGATCAATTAGCCTCTTTCTTAAATATCTATCGAAATTTACATTAGGGTCGAAATACTTGTAAGACATTAGATTTTTGTAAGATGCGATTGTGTCTATTTGGATAGGTCACTTTTGCAGTCTATGGTGTCCTTAGCCACATTCCAACATTGAAAGTGTATCAAATATTGATTGACTTCTTTCTATCAAGCTTTATGTTTGTAATTTCAAGTTTACATTTGTATTTCATACTTCAATTATTCTATTCCTACAAATTTCTTACTAGGTCCTCTTGTGTTATGATGGTTTCTCAGAATTAAGTAAAAATGCTGAAGTGACTAAATGAAAAACCTGAGTCCAACTTCTGTATTCTGCTGTACCTATAAATTTTATTTACAAAACACAAATCAGCCGTATATTAAATGTAAGTGGTTTCCATAAGTTTATGCAATCCTTGTATTTTCAGCAATGTAAGATTTAAAAAAGAGACCGTAAGTTGATGTGTTCAATTATCTGTGACTCATTCATGGTCTAAATGACATAAAGCGATTGTTGAAAGCTTTAAGATTATACTTAACTAGTATATGCAGTAGTTTCCATAAATGACAAAACATAACTTTAAAGTTTTCTGATTATTTCAAATGTTATTACATTCTGTTTTTACAGAATCATCACTATTTTCCTCGACTACTGAGAATTTTTAAAGACAATAATTTTCATTTATCGTTAACCTCGTAACTAAAAACTTGATCTCGTCAGGTGGTGGGAAACCCGCATTTTCACCAACGTACTTGTAGATAGATAGGAAATATCGCTAAATCGTACAGAAATATACTAATCAATACCGGTTACGTGAACCTATATTTAATCACTGATATGGAACAATATTTTCCCCACTTATTTTCAGTTTTTGTGCTGATTGGAGAGTAGTTTTTCTTTCATAGGCTTCTTAGCGAAAGTGTGATATAAGCATAACGTAGAGGAACCATAAGAAGTCCATGCTGTTCCCTGTTGTAAAAGAAGAACCCATCCCACAAACTCAATGCGATGCATAGCCTACTATTTACAACTGTGAATTTGTCGGTGTTAACATTTGTGCGATTTTGGTATTTAAATCTTTTCATAACCAAACCAACTATTTACTTACATCTATTTCTAGCTAAGAAGTTGACTGATGCAATTCATTTTGTCTTCTAGGTCCAGTTCCTCCATGTAATATCATAAGTTATACAGCTTTCCTCCAGAAATGAACCAAACTCCCCAAGAACGTCTGGATGCTCTTCTTAAGTCTGCCGAAGATTTCACTATCATTCAAAATATAGACATTTCCCACTATGCACGGTTTATCCGGTCGATGTTTCGCTTATCTGTCCAGTTCTCAGAAGCAGGCCAAAAAGAAAGAGCGTACATATTGTCCATAAGAGCTGTTTTGTGTATCCGAGAGTTACCTAATCATAATGGTTACCAGAGACTGGATCCACGTGTTCAAAACGAACTCAAAAGTCTTGGTAAATTACTTCCAAAATCTGCTGAGTTCTTGAAGGATGATTTGAAAAAGAAGTACACAGAGGAATATGAGCTGTATAAAAAGTCACTTAGTATAACTGAATGGAAAGTGAATACTAATGGGCCAGTGGTACCTTTTCTTGATCATAGTTCAAAGCCGTATGATGACTATCCAGTTGATCCCAACTCTTATAGACTCTCTTTGTCTAACTTATCTTCAGTCAACGGAACGTTATATCCTGCTTTTAATAAAGCCTTCAACTATACTCTCGATGAGCTCCCAAAATCTTTGTACAGTAACTACGCAGGAAATTATGGTTTGACGAAAACATATTTATCCAGACATCTGATAAGTGACTTTTTGAACCTAGCTAGTAAAAATACTAAAGGAAATCGGGAAACTTGTGGGACCCTGTGTGGGAAATTAATTAGTGGCAATTTCTATATTACAAACCTTCTAATTCCGAAGCAAAGCGGTACTCCAGACTCTTGTGTTACATATAAAGAAGAGGAAATATTTGAGTACTTAGACAGGAGGCAGCTGATCACATTGGGTTGGATTCATACACATCCTACTCAAACTGCATTCTTATCGGCTGTTGATCTACACTGTCAGCTTTCTTATCAGACTATGCTTCCGGAAGCGATTGCAATTGTATGCGCTCCTAAATTCGATGATATTAAATGTTTTTCATTAACTCCTGATCACGGCATTTCATTCCTGTCAAAATGTAAAAAGACGGGTTTCCATCCACATGCCACAGATCTTCCATTATATGAACAAAGTCAACATGTAATATTTGACGATACTGTTGAACATTCTTCTGATGATCTCCGATAATCTGAAAGTCCACAATGTTTGTACAGTGAGTTCTGAATGTGCAAAATATTCTTTATGCTTTATCTACTTCACTTCCTACTGATGTTAATTTGAGGAACTATAAATGGTTTGCAGTATTTTCGTAATGGGACCCGTATTTATTGTTCTTGATTGTCTAATGCTCCTTGTAAATGATTTTGTTGTTGACCAACAATCATAGAAGTTTATCTCTTGTAAAAAAAATAGAAGTCAATGTTTGCTAAAGTTATGAATGAATTGTGAACTCAAGACTAGAAAGAGTCTGAGACGTTGAGAAACTTCGTTGTTGCTGGACATCTATCTACAGGTAAAGCGTTTCGTTGACCCAATAGTTTTAAGCCGAAACAACATGACTGTATACGCATTTCATGGCCATAAGTCTTATTGATCTTTCCTAAAAGTCTTTAGAGAGACTTGTCTAAAACTGGTTCAAAAATCTTATTATCAGATGTAGGGGGAAAGTAGAATATTTAGTAAGCAGGAATATCGTTCCCTATGGATGTAGCAATACATTTAATTTCATATGAATCTGAAATGTGTCAACAGATATCCTTCTGAGACCAGTTAACATAAGGATGCATAACTTTGAGCCTTCCAGCTATAGGTACATTTCCAATTTTTCTTTGGCTTCACTGCGAAGATTTATGGAATGAAAGGACTAACGTACACTGCTTACAGCATTCTTAAAACCAACCCGGTGATTATTTTTTTTTTGAGGTACAGATAGACATGACTACGACATCTATCAGACTGATATATAAGCGTATCACTGCCTTAATCTTATAAGTGTTAGTTACTTGCAAAACAGATTGCTCCTTGGAACTATTGACAGATTGTTAATCAGTGTGTAAAAGATTTATACAAGATGACTAATTTTGAAAAAAATTATAAGTTTGGAAAATTGTTATCATATTATGTTGTTAAGTTTTAGAGGCAGTATTTAGTCTTACTAACGCACGCGAAAAAGCTGCACTCCATAGGCTCTTCTCTTGCAACCTGGTACTTTAATTAGTTGATATCTTGAATAAGCAATTATATTTGGAACATTGAGGATTGTTTTTGTTGCATCAACTTACCTTGTATTCAATTAGCATTCCTGCATCCCGCATAGTTTGGTCACCTTTATGATTAAAGCACACCCCCAAACTTACTCGTACTCTATGATATACTCGGTTTTAAGAGAAGTAACTAATATCTCACTTAAGTTTAAGATTTATTTAAAAATACGTACTGATACTAATGAGATGCGAAGCAAACTGTATGAAAACTTATTAAGAGGACTTACACTAAAATAATAAGTGGTAGATATATTGGCATTACAATGGTATAACGTAGATTAAGAGGGAAAATAGTATATTTACCCTCAGTAGCCTAATAATATCGATTTTCTTATACTATTAAAAAGTAATCAGTTAAGTAATTATTCCAGCCCTTAATTCATATTTTCACGTCAGACCATGCACTACAGATCAAAAAACTTATATCTCCTTGTTTTTAAAGCATACAGCCGTACATCCAACATCAAAAGAGCAAAGTAAGTGATCCTGTCGAAAAAGACTACAACTATATGCGTTATTCAAGGCCAGAAGCAGTTATCTCTTTTAAAAAAAAACAGGAAGCAATGTTTCACAACACGTACGAAAGACAAGTAAATATCCACTGTACGAGGCGCCTATTGCTGAAAATTTATTATCACATGTCCAAAAAAAATGAATCCGCGTATTTTCATAAATTATCTTGTTGTATATACTAAAATCAAACATTTGTGTACAATATGCACTGGATATACTGACAAGCTTTAGAAAATCTCTTCAAGAGAACCTGAAGTAGTATGCCGAAAAACTTCGTGTGAGTAGGCAGTCAGTATCATTATGGTGCACGAAAAATTGGTTTCCTAAAATAGTATATATATATATATATATATATATATATAGAGAGAGAGAGAGAGAGAGAGTGTGTATGTGTAAGAGATGAGAATCTCAAGATTTGCCCAGTTAGGATCGAAAATATATGAAACAAACGATTGTTAGATCTGAGAGTTTAAAAGTGAAAAATTATATATATATATATATATATATATATATAAACTCATGCCCACGAAATAGTGGTCTGCGTCAAATCAAGAACTTTATTCACTTTGCCTTTTGCATCTGTAACATTAAGTACTATACGCGGTGGGGAAGATATTGTTGGATCCAAGTTTTCATTTGATTTTTTCGATGACCAAGCTTCGTCTTTAACGCTTTTATGACTAACACTGATATTGACACGACTGCCAGGATTTAGATGTCCTTGTTCATCAGCTAAAGCGAGAAGGCTTATTATCCTACGTTCAATCTAAAAAATTGATCAAACATAAATCCTATGTAAAGTATCATTCAATATGTAAAGACAAAAATGTGATTTATAGTTTCGCCCTGATGTTAACGAATATTTACTTATCAAGTGTTTGGGGCTTTCAGCCATAGTATAAATTTAAAGGCTAGTTAATATTACCTGGTTGCTCAAACTAAAGTAGACAGAATGGGGTTTAAAACTGCGACTTGGTGGTTGAAGTTAGAATGTCTTAACCATTAAGTTATTACATTGTTGTTTAATTATATCATTCGTAATAATAGTCTAGCAATGATTATATGAGAAAAAAAGGTATTCATTATTCTTCTATTAGCGAAATTGCAAATCTGACTATCTGCACAATATAGTAGTTCCCAGAAAAACGAAGGCGTTTTTATCTCCTCATTTGAAGTTATTGTCTTGAAATCAACAACTAATCTATTGCAGAAAAATTTTACAATAAGGAAAACGTTTCACTCTCCGGTTAGCTGGTATAGGATAGTAGTAAGTCAGTGGCCACACCTACATTCATCGATCGAAAACGACAATTGACTACAGTTTCCACAATGTAAAATTATTTAATAAAGTAGTTACTTTTATCTGTACCAAGGTCGGTTAAGTCGATGGAATTACTAAAACAAACACTTCTACTCATCTAAAAGTCATGGAGGATTGATTTAGAATCCTTAGTAGTATGATCTATAAAAACGCGATGAAATCTGCCAGTCTTACCTCGTAATTAATTGATCTTGCTCCATAATACACATCATATCCATCAACAATAAGATCTACTACTTCACGATTCCATGTTACTGTGAGAGAATGCCTTTTCAATGCCTACAACAAAAATTACTCTGGGTTATATATCAAATTTTACATAAAAAAACTGATAGTTTATAAAATTAAGCATATATAAAATCTAGCAAGCAAGTTGTGTAACAGACCATAGTGAAAAAATTCAACAAGATACTAGACGTAAATAGGATTTACACATAGTTTCTTAAAGTTAACTTATGCCGTAGCACACATGAGTTCACCTAAAAAATGAAATCACTAAAACTACAACATCCCCTTACTTGACCTAAAAACATCTATTATTTCACATATATGAAAATCAGAGATATAGTGAAACTAGCATAAGTGAAATGTTGTGATTGCCACAATACAACTGATATAATAATAAATTCATACATCCTCCATTACTTTTCGTAACTTATTTCTTAAACTCTCATTTTTATACATCTAAACTCATTGACAGTAGGCTAAATCTTTCTGAAGAATTCAAAGTTGTACTAAATGTTAACTTTTCCATAAAAATGTATCACCGACATCAATTGCGAATTTCAAGCATATTTACTTGTGACCTCTAACAAATCATTTTAAAGAGACCTATTTAAGGAAATCAGTCTGGAAAATTGTTTAACTTAATAAATCTTTAAACAAATATCAGTCATTAATTGGTTAACACACACAGGCGAACCATGAATAATTGATTCCAACTATCTGTGTTATTCTAAAGCCTTATCCCTTAAGGCGAAATAGTCAATTTTTCACATTTAAGATTGGTGAAATTATAATTATCTAGTATCAGATTCTTTTCAGCTAAAAACATCATTCATTCTCTTAATTTTTCGACGTTGTTTCATATATACTTAGTTCTTGTTTCACAGGAATTAAATTCTTTTAAAACCAAATGGCAGAAGAAAAACTGACCTTCTCACTCCAACTTTTTAAACTACGATTCACTAGTTCGGTAAGTTCAGATGTTGAGAATGGTAAAAAGTAAACCATTTCATTAATACGACCAAGAAATTCATCACGAAGAAAATGTCTCTGTAATATTTATAGAAAAAATTAGATAGCAAATTATTAGGATTATTACAAGTGAATCCATGATAATTAGAAATATATAAAAATGTAACTAATGTTAACGGTTGCAAAATACTTGGATTACGGACGTACTAATTGAAGTATAGGAAAATTTAGGTTACAAAGTTGATGGTTTAAACGGTTGGCCTACGGTGGTACATTACTATCAATCAGATTTCGATATCAGTTAATACATGAAGAATCGTAATTGACTCGTTGCATTATGCTGTGATAAACAATTTACGCGACAGTAAATTAAGGTGAATTTTTAAACTATGAAATCTAGTTGCTTGTTCACTACTATTTATGTCCAAAATATATATATACAATGATTCTTCAACCGATGTCATTTTCTTATTACAGAGGAGGTAGATCAGACCATTTTTGAGTTTTATTGCTTCGTTAACACTTCCTTTACTGACTATCTAGCCGTTATTGATTCAATGGAACTTTGAGAAAGATATTTTATATCCTTTTTTAATTTCGTCATGTTATTTGATTCGAGATATCAATTTATTTTTTGTTGGAAAATATTTTAATTTCAAACGCAAATGGATGTTCACTTACTATATATATCGTCACATCTAATGTCTTATCACAATGTATCCAAGACCTCACGTAGAAAAGCTAACTATCAACCTTTAAATCTTGCAACAAGTAAGATATTGCCGAGGCTTCACGAATTCAGTCAATTTAGGGCTAGTATTTGATTTTACCAACGTTGATGTCTGTCTTAGCTTATACTTAATTTACTATACAATTTAATAGCCTTGCACCAGGACTTCTGAAAATGCACCTGGATCGTAATCACTGGTGAGCGGATACGATTATTACTACTCGGGCAAACCGCATATAAGCTTTCAAAAAAAAAGAACGGAATTAGGAATTCAGAAGTAAGAAAACAACAAAACTGGCATCGGTGAATAACACAATCATTGATTCAGTCAGTCCCACTTAATCGAAGAGCTATGATGAAACTGTCAATAAGCAATACAGGACCTGGCATAAAGCCGTACTGGTTGTGACAGCCCATATCAACAATGGAAATCTGAGTGCAAAACGTTTTGTTCAAAAAGAATAAAGGAAATATAAGTTTACGACTTACAGTAAAACAAAAAAATGAATGCAAATCTATCACTGATCAATTCTGAATCATAATACTTAAGGGGACTATTTACTGGAACCCAATTCAAATGTGCCAGTCCTACATTCGAACTCATTGATATATCCATAAGATGCGATGAGATTTTAAGGCATTGTTTTATATAACAATATATCTAAATAAGCTTATGGTTGACACAAAATAAATGAAAAAGAAGACTAAAATAATGGATAACAGTCTATTAGTCATCATTGTTACTGACCTACCTACTCTACTTACCCTTAATATCGGACGCATAACTTTTTCTTTAAAGTCTCGAGATATTTCAATGTCAGCTTCTGAAGTAAATTTAGATAAGAAAATAGACATTGGATTCGAAATGTGAAAATAATGCTACATAAACATTTCTTGTCGTATATTGTCAACCTATAAATGCCATCTACAACATTCGAAATTTCGCACTCGTAAAGTAACAGAATGAGAAAATTGAGCTTACATGATTTTTGATACGTAGTCAACCGTCTCGTCTGTGTCACAGGTAAGAAAAATCGAGACAAACATTTGGTATAGGATACCGGGGTCTTATGAACACAACAACCTGTTAAGGCTTTATACGATGAACTGACAACTCGAAAATAACCTAAGTAGATAACAATTGTCTCCATTCGTAATTAGCACCAAGACGGATGCTAAAAAGACTAAGTCAGAAGCCGTGACCTGTGAAACCAACCAAGATGTAGTTAAATACCAACCGTCCTATATCACGAATTAACTAGAGTTTGGAAATATGGATCGACATGGACGCTGTGACTTGAATATCTAATGATTGTTAAGGAGTCTGGTGCCGTGTAGGGTGATCCTTAACGAGGGAAAGACAACTGTCAGGGATTGATCTCCATCCTAGGAACTCACTAATCGACATGGAGTACGCAGACGAAATAGTCCTTTTTGATGAAGATGCTGGGAAAGCAGTCTTCTAATTGTCTTGAATAATACATCTTTAAGATGTGTTTCTTTCCCCCACATATAAAATTGTGCTTTAGCATTAATCTACATCAACCCCTAAACTAATAACGAGGAGCGAAATAGTTCCATGCATTGACCAACTGAATTATCTTGGATGTTTCATTAGCCCTGATAGGTTGATGTTTGACAAGTCGGTCATAATGGTTCAAATTTTTTCACTGTTTGTGTTCCTCTTGATCTTTAATCCCAGTATTCATTCATACATACCTTTTCATTGTCTTTTCGAAACATATTATCAATCTCTAGTCTTTCTTAACAAAATTGCTACAAAAATATTTCCATTCGTGTTACAATGAGTCTCATTAATTTTATCACATCTTAAATATGTAGTATGAAAACTTAGGCTGATGGACTTTTGTGTTAGACTATATGTTGTACTATTAAATGACAAACTAAACAGTGATAATAAATGAGTTCAAAAAGTAACGATAACAACAAACCATCATTTCCGGAAACGTATCGTAGTTGTTGCGCATGTTCAGCTATAACTTGACTTCCAACATTCGATGTCATAATGAATATAGCGTCTTTACAGTTAATTGTAGTGCCACGCCCATCTGTTAACCGTCCCTAATAAGAGTAGGATGTTTAGTAAATAAGTAGCTAATAATATAATGATTACGAAAACGAATTTAGTTTATTAACCCCATTACCTACTCAAATAGTTAATTTGACATAGTTATTAATATTTACATAAAACAGAATATTCACCATTCCTCACTTTTGAGATTGGTTACTACTTATATACAACTTACTTTTTTTACTTGGTAACACTAATCTAATAATACATATTAACACATATTACCCCTCGTGGAGCATATATCGCCAACTGCAAATCTCCAACCTGGACTTTCTTTACAGTTGTTGCCAAGTGCTATTCATTCTTTTGATGTCTGCCAAATAAGTGTGAGTAAATATAACGGTCTTTTTTATTTGAAAACTATCACACTGGAACTGCTAAAATAACAGTTATAACCAGTTTATTCTTTTAAAAATACATCTGTTATATAAAGTGAAGGGAACTTCAAACTGTTAAACACAACTGAGTAAATATGAAATCCATAAACCAACCACCATATCACCCAATGAATTAAGACATGCCTACAAATTACATATTGAATGTATACAACTACATAATGCAATAATCAAATTTATCTCGATTCATTTATCTAGTCTCAACAAATTGTTTATATGTTTAGGATGTATATTCTTATAGTTTAAAATATTATTTGATAGAGACCATAAAGTGCTTCAAATGAGTTAGTTTCTTTACCTCAAATCATTAATCCAATCTTAACACTTTTCACTTTATATACTGACTAACTGGATATGCATTAGAATCCTAGTAAAACGGTAAAAATGATTAGAGAAGCAATTTCCCTTTATATTTCTTATTCATATCGTAGAAACAAAAATAAATTACAGAGCTTTAAGTGTTTATGTATCCCTGTTAAATAATAATGATCTTTCTTCGAGTTACTGATATACACATCTTTAAATTACCGCCCCACATGACGGAGCCATTGAATAACTGTACGCTGATATTAAATATAGATATCATAAAGTTAATAAGTCAACAAAACTTCTTGATCGTGTATGTTAACATGACATGGAGTAGAAATTGTCACAAAACCAAACATTTATTTAATGTCTTACCACCACAAACTTCAAACACATTATTACTATGGATAGTTTATTTCATATTGATGATCTGTTATTACTTGTTCTCCAGTTCATTTGTTACTGTTAGTGTATCATATTTACATTTATTTGGTATTTTGTATTTTATGGAATTTTTCTATAGCTATGATAATCCAACCTGATATTCAAGTGTGTGAAGTATGTTTGTTTTGTTTCTTTGTGGCTTCTTTGCTCTATTTTCAGCAAACATGTTTTCAAGTATACTTACGTACTTTCAGCAGAAGGGAAAATATATTGATTTACTTAATCAACGTTTGATAATCAAATTTCACGATAACTGCTAATCTATATGATGATGTAATCAATGAAATAACGTTATGGTATATAAAATTACAAATTTTGCAATGGGAAACATATGATACACATAACGTTCAAGTTTCGTAACGAAATCATATGACTGAAACAATGAATTTCTCATTTGTATATACATAGATAGATCTGTTGTGGAAACAAACTCGTGATAATCAATAAAACTCAAAGTACATATAAACAACAAATGGTTATATTTTTTAAGAGAACAAAAATACTTTGCATTTGGAGAAACTACTACTACTATACTCCAGGTGCATACACACGTACGTTACCTGCCTATTTTTGTATGAAGGATATATATATATATATATATATATATATATATATATATATATATATATATAATTCATTTATTTTCTCTCTAATATACGTCCACTAGTTAGCATTTACACATGACTTTGAATCCGTGATTTCAAACATAAAAAACTAAAATAATGAGATCATCAATGAAGATAAATCAATATTTCGCTTATGGAATGATAATTAGGTGGAACAATGTAAACTATTCCAATGATATTCACTTTTTAATTAAATGGTTTCTAATATATTCTCAGATATAGACAGTTACCTTCAAACAAACAAAAAAACTTATTGTTTATTACTAAATCAAATTCACATTTAATATAGAATACAGATACAAATAAACTGGTTTAACTATTTATTGATTTGATTGGATATTGATAAAAAATATTATTTTATAAAAACATAACTATAATACAGCACATAAATAAATATCGACAAGTGTATATGAAAAGTTTAATATAAACGTTTAGTCGTAATTAATACTGCTACATGTTGACAAACAAAAATACATAAACATGGACAAATACACTATAGACAGTAAATAAAATTGAAACATGAAATTTATTTATTGTCTGTGCTACATAACAATAAAGTTGTGAATAAATAAATTTCTATAATGTGGTAAATGCACATAGTCATGGTATTGTCATATTTAAAATAAGAAACTACCCACATCATTTTAAGAATCTAAATTAATTTTGTTAGGATATTCGGAAAAATATACCAATAATTATCATGTTAAGTCTAATGGTGTCCTTGGACTTTAAATGGACATTCCCTATTAGTCAATATTTATTTCACTTGTTAAATATTGTACAAATGTTGTTCTCTATTTTATGGTACGATGTGGTCTGTCTGATTGGTATATAAACAGAGTATGTTTGAAATACAATGATTCATATCTCAGAGGTTGAGACTGGTGTTCTGGACTCAACTGGTTGCGCTAGACGGGGAAGCAGGGCCAATCGGGACTCTAGGTCGTCTCTTACGTGTTTACGTGTCATTGATCCGATCGATAAGACGCTGCGCATCTAATCTGCAGTCCATAAGACACAACAAATCTAAATGAAAACCTTTGCTACATTCGTTAGTTTTTTTTCTTCAGTTTTTGAGGATTTATTTATTGGTTTATTTAATACATATTAATACTGGAACAGCTGGGCATCAAAATAAAGTATGTACCATACTAATAAAGAAACCAAATTATGGAGAGTTATTGAAGGGAGATGACTTGAAATACATAAACGACAACAATATACAAAAAGAGATACAGAACGGTTAAGTATGCAATCAAGAAAACTTCTTCCATGCACCCCTATGAAAAGTGTTTAAAAAACTAAAGCAGCATTGCTACTGGCTTCTATTCTGAGCCATATCTGACAACGTCTCAAGGCAATGGGTCACATCACCTAATCAGGGAGTTATGATGAATTAAAAGCTGCCAGTCTTGCACAGCTTTTCTTCATACTATAGTGTCATGTCATCAGCTGCCCATTTCCTTTGATTTTTTCTCCTAATCCCTGCGAGTTTTCTGGAATAGATTTCTTATTTAGATAAATTGCTGTAGTTTACCAAATAAATTCAAAGAATATAGACAGAATGACTTCCTATTTGAAAATCAGTCAGTCACAATGTACAACCTGGTGCGTATGTTTATCGGTCCAAGTTGCTATACCTCATTAACACAGAGAGCTGAAGTCTTCAGGCCATAATCGCAAAATAGTACAGGTAGTGTGGTGCGTGCTACTTATATTGATCTAAGTAGTATATCATGCGAGTCAGAAATGTAATGTCCGGCAGCAGAAGATGAGGGAAGATCAAGAAAGCAGGAGCGGGAATAGAATGCAATTTGTATGAAAATGTAAGAACAATGAAGTCTGAGGCATTTTGAGACAACTGGTGGACATTTTGCAAATTAACGATTTAATATAAAGTTCTCAGATTTTATTGAGATGCTCCGTAACTTTTGTGTTAAATACATTCGACTGTCCCCACCCGTGTTCTTGTTCAGTACAGTAGTAGCAGTATGAGTGGTGGTTGGGAATTCTGGACATCGAAGATATGATTCAAGAAAATATAAATTGATGAAATCATTACAAAAAAAGCTATGAAGGATTCAAAAGCTCAGAAGTTGGGGGAAGACATAGAAAGGATGCACGTGGACCACTGCAAACGATTTCGAGTCATATCACTTAAGGTCTCTAGTCTTTGGTTACGATAATTACACGCACCCCTACAAGGTAGTCTACACCTATTAGAGCGGCTCTAAAAATCCGTCGAGCAAACAAAATGTTATATTTATCTATACTTTACCAAATTTCATTATTAGAATATAATTTTATATTTAGCCTTTACAAGGTTTAATGTACCAGCCTGTTATGATAAATCAATTAGTTGATAAAATCAATAGAATAAATATTATGATTTAAATTATAATTGTATTCACAGAACCAATTCCTCGAATCCTAACTGGATGAGTTTTGAAAAATAAAATTGTTAACCGATTGAATGAGTATGTGAGTTCATATTAAAGATTTAAAACTTGTTAGTTTTATCTACGAAAAAAGTTAGATATAGAAAAAGATATGAATTAAAATAATAGGGATTACTTAGTTACTAACGAACTTTTACTTCTGTCTATTAGTTCAACATTTAACTTACGAAATACTTATAAGTATAATATTTTCAATCTGAGTTTATCAATAAAACATACATTATAAAATTGTATAGATTAAATGTGACCTACTTCATCAAATAACTGTAACAAAGCTGTCAAAACATCTGGATGAGCTTTCTCTGTTTCATCAAACAAAACAACTGCATTAGGACAAGCAGCTAAAGCTCGTGTAAGCTGACCACCTTCTTCATGACCAACATAACCCGGTGGTGATCCGATGAATTTGGACACCTATAAAATAATAATGGAAAATTTTAAACTAATCACATGCACAATGTAATACAGAGACTGAAAAAGATAGAGGAAAAAACTTATACACCCACTCACTAACGCACATATGAAGACAAAAAAATAAGAATTTTTGAGAGAGATGATATACCAGGAAACCAAACAGATCATGTGTTGTTGAGAAGAGAATACAAGGTAATTGTGAAGTGCAAATGTAGGTAACATAATTTCGATGAGTTATTCCTCTGCTCAAGGTCGCTGGCGACATATCGGTTTATAAGCCAGTCTAGTAGTAGTATTATTTATTCGGCCTTCCGTAGTAAATGTTCTTGCGTACAATTAATTTTTTCACTCTTCATAGCTGGTTTCCCAAACGTCATAAAACGTGAACTGTTAATCGAAAAGGACGGCAGTACACAGCAGAATCATACTCTGCCACCTTTTAGTTCCACAGCATCTCAACAGACGAATATCAGAAATGCACAAAACTCAAAGTCTATATAGCTGCTAATAAAATGGTGTTCAATTTCTACGATAATCTTAAAGAAATGACAGTGGTATTGCGTAGTTTGCCAAAATTTTAGGGCATCATGTAACAGAATAGCACAGAGCTGACAGAATATTATCGATTGATTAACTTCAGTCTATATTTAATTAATTAACTATTAATTCAATAAAGTAATTAGCCGATATTAACAGAGTGACACAAATATAGGAATCATTATTGATACATATTACACGTATTATTCTGTAAATGGAAAGGTACCTGAATGCAAAAACACTATAAGGTATGAGCAATTACATTAATTTGAAATAGATTTCGGTCAATTTGTATGTTGTCAAATTAACGGGGTGTTTAAAAATAAATAAAAAACACAAATGATGCTAGGGTGAAGAGAACAAAGGAGACTATGAAAAGCGCTCGTTTATTCTTTGATGAATAAATTGATATGTTTCCAATGAGTTTTTATAATACTTGTTGAATGAGTTCATGGCTATCTTAACTCTATTAACTTAGGGAATCAAAAGTTGACGTTTAAAACGATAGATGCCAAGTTCGAGTTTCAGTTTGCAGAGTGACATTGAGATGAAGATATATTCAGCTGACAAGTCCTAAATAGGTCGTAATGCGTATGCTATCATTTACTTATTGAGATTTATAAATTATGACATTTTGATTTTGCATTTTAGTTATACAATTATGTAAGTTGTGCGTTTAAATAATAAAGATACAATAACGATACACGAAACCGTTGAAATACTTCGAAGGAATATTCTTGGTTATTTTGCAGCACAACCCAAGCTTGGTGGTTTACTTGTGTAGTCCACTTATTTCTTAAGAATTTTTATATTGAAACCAATGGTATTTTAGTGAAGAAAGACTTGGTGGGAAAACCAGTTTATTATTTAATACAAAATTACAGAGTGCTTTCGTAAAATATGAAAACCATAGATCAAATACATAATTTGCACATCTCCCTTAACATATTTTATGACTCTTTCAATCCCGTTGTTATTACAACTACTTTCTGTTTTCTCCAAAAAAATCTTACCAATCTTCTGCAGTCGTGAATTTCACTTCCAATTTGTGCTACATACTACTTATATCTGTCGACATAAGTAGCATATGCTGCAGTATATGTACATATAACTAAAACCTAAGAAGTTAAGACGTGCCTCAGTGGTTAGGCCTTTCGACTTTGAGACACCACTTCATCTACTTCCGTTTGGGGACCTAGGTAGTGTCAGTTGCCCTCACGCTTAAAACTAAGTACACAAATATGTATCAGGTACACGAGCTAGTAAGCTATTTTAACAAAGAACTTGGAAAATACATACTTCATGTTTTTCTTGGTATTCCGACATATCAATACGTATGAAGCCCTTTTTAATGTCTTTATGTAAGTATGCTGCTACTTGTTTAGCCAACTCCGTTTTGCCTATACCGGATGAACCGAGAAACAGAAATACAAGTGGATGATCTTCATCATACCAACCATTTTCTTTACGTCTTATAGCTAAATGAAAAAAAAATAAGCGGAAAAAATGTTGAAAGTATATTTTAAAACAACCACTTTACATTTGAATTATGGTAAGTTAATTTATGGAATTTTGAAAAATTTCAAACCGATTCATGTCACAAGCAGTTATTTTACATAATCCTGTATAATCGACATATACATAAAATGTGCTTATGATTTATTCTAGGCTAACTAAATAATGAGCAACACATCATTAAAATGACCCATACGTTGATTTAATGAGATTACACACACTGACTAATTTGGCTAATAGTTCACAATATTATATAATTCCTAGTTCATGTATACATAATGCATGTGACAAGTAAATTACAAAAACATTTTCTTCCACAATTTTCTTTAAAAAGTTACACAAGATTTTCTAACGAAGTCATCTAAACTTTTAAAGAGATAAACAGCGCTGAAAACACTTGATTTAAATAGTAATACTGAGAGTATAGCAACGCGACTTTCAACCTGAATTTCATACATCTGACAATCTATCACAGAGATTCATACAATAAAAATCCATAGATGGAATATCAAACTAAAATAGGAGTTCGTAAATTAATGGAAATGTTGACATTTTAAACCAAAAAATACCATAACTACGTGAACGCTGATAAAATCACGATTTATTTAAAACAGTAGAATCTTAACCAGTTAGTCACAGGTTCGAAATTCGGTTCGCTTCATTTGCCTCTGGTAGTTTTTTAGCGCCATCACCGCATGCACAAAAACTGAAGCTCAAAGTCGACTACAGGGTTCAAATATGCAACCATTTTAACTATGCATGAAAATATTGAAGTGCTTTTTATACTACTAGTTTCATCTACAGTAGCTAAGTATTGTTAACCCAAAGTAAATGACTACGGAATGTATCTACTTAATTAGGAAGTACAAAATAGTAACTAAATATGTACAATTCTAAATTACTTTAGGCATGACACATAAATATGATATTTCACACTACGTTACATTTAAAAGGAAGTGTTTTTATATGCCTAAAATATTATTTAGAAACATTCCTCAAAAGTCCTGTAACCGCAAAAATGTTTATTAATAAATTATTTGCATTATGGGGATTCGTGAACATTGTAGTATTTTAACGGTTGAATTCACGAATCGATCTAAGCCGCCCACTACTTCCACGTTTTTAATGGTGGTCTAGCTTAGATCGACTCGTGAATTCGACTGTTAAAATAAATTATTTTTCTATGCATCATAAATCACAATGGCTTTATAGCTTCAAAAATCATGAACATTCGCTGATTTAAAAAACATCGCGAATTCAAGATTATGGGGGACTACATATCTCTAATATTATAACTAACAAGCTTTTAAAACTTCCCAACTAATTAACAAAATACTAGAATGCTCACCGTCTTTAACATTTCAATAATATGTAGCTTATTTTTGAACTATTCGGACTTTCTTTACCTTAGATCAATGGAGCAACTCACGATATTCATGTCGTCTTAAAAGTCCCAACAGTAGGCTAACTGATCAGTGATACAGAATAAATCTGATTTGCTTTTGATTTATTCAACAAAAGGTTAGACCACTTTGTTAGGAATTCGATACACTGATTATCGATCTACAGACATATATTTAGCAATTATTCACATTCTAAATGGTTTTTAACCATACACAACTTAGTATCAAACGTTCTGGACAAAATAGTGCTGTTTGCTAATAATAAATTTTGCTGGTCATCGGATTTGGATTTTTCATATTTATTTATTCGGAAGTTTTATGTTGTTAATACGACCACGTCGGGCTCACCAATGAAGTGGCCCGTGGATCTGACTCCGTTTAGATTGTATGATGAATGTTTGTATTCGCTGATTCTCGTTTATCATCGTCGACTTAAATCGCGTTAGCCAATAACCGAATTAAATAAGTCAATTAACGAGAATGGCCATTGAATACATATATTTTGTATGTAAAGTGAATGCGATAGAACAAAGCGAAATGACGCGCGGGGAGGATGGCTGGGAAGCCAACTCCGTTTTAGTCAAGTGTTATTCCATATTTATAGTCAGACAAAATAAAGCTACAGACATGTGATTAATGCGATAAGAAGGGCACACATATACCCTCATATAAAAACAGTCAAGACTGACAAGCGAATAATTGACAAGGTCAAAATATGGCTCAAGTAAAATGAATAAAATAGGATGTCCGGAAGTTAGAATAAGGTATATGGGCTTGCCATAATAACTGACACTACACAAACATCTGGTAGATAGTGTAAAGCATGAAATCCATTATTATGAAAGGCAAACCAGCCAAAATAATACTTTATTTTTGTTGATCAAGATAGCTGGAAGAATTGTGATTAAAACAAGCCACCTATTGTCTAAAGTGTCAAAAGATAAGAGATTCAGTTTTTTCAAACCACGATTATTTTATGATGCCAAACCCGAAATCAAACGATACAATTAAAGGTTGTCACCACTATGTAGAAGTATGTTGTAAGCATTCATTTATGGAGCAAGCAAAGGAATTATTTCGCTCCATATAAGTTATGTTTGCATACCTATCATTTGGTCGCAACATATATCTTCAAGAGGACTGAAACAACAATGGTTTTGAAAATCTACCAATAACTAGGAATTTTTCCAACCAAATACAATGAAATGGATTATTAATCAGCCTTAGGGAATACAAAAACCCTAAATATTTCATAAAATATAGAATAAATTGATTTGAAATTGCAGTGTGTAGAAGTCGTCATACATGTACCACTATTATGGTCCATTCCACTAAGTAATACAACCGAATATTAACGTGAATGATTAGTATGGAACTCAGTGGTACAGATCAAGAAATTGTAAAATACTAGACACATATTTGATACCCAAGTAAGCCACAATTGTATTTTTTGTATTTATTAAGCAGAATAATACTGGACTGTCATATATATAGGATCAGCTATAGTGGGTGCTTCTCTGGCTGTGTGAATCACTGATTGTATGAATACATATCTACTACCATAACAACTCTCGTTCTCATTTTGTTAATGAGTACAGAATGATTGTTGATGTGCAAAAGGGAGAATTAATTAACACCTGTCAGCTTAAACAGTACAGATCCCTATCATAGTAAGAGGGAAAATCTAGTATTTTTCTTTACTATACTAAAATCTACGAGATAATTTTTTAAAGTTATCAAGAGACAAAAGACCTCAAATTTGAGCTTACTGTAATAAAATAAGTAATAATATACTAGGATTCTGTAAACAACTTTTTCAATCACAGGTTTTACGAAAACTTATAGAATAACTTAGAGAAGCATGACAAAAAGTATTTAAAAGCATTATGGTGTAGTGTATTCTACTTACACTGACAGATATGTAGCAGCAATCAGAAGTAGGATGCCTGTTAACAGAAGATTGAATTGAAGAGAAGAAAAATGGAAACAGAATAATTGTAATAATAACAGAATTGGAAGAATCATGAAGCATGTAAAGAAGAATCGAAGGAAAATGTGCAAATAATGTATTCAGTGTATGGTTTTCATATTCTACCAAAAAACTGTGTAATTTTGCACGAAATAATAAACTGGTTTGCCAAACCTACGTCTTCGTTCATTACAACAGTAATACAAATGATGAAAACAGAAAGGTGTATAACAAACCAACCTGCACTAACAGTGCGAATAGCAGCTTCTTGACCAACAATTACTTTACGTAAACGATTTTCTAGTGGTTGAAGGCGTCTTTCCTCTCGCTCTTTGGCAGCCACTTCTTCTGCCTTCTACAAAAGCCGATTATTATAGGGAGTGAATACTTTAAACGCTTAAGATAAAAAAATAAAATATGTGTTCATATTATTTAACCCAGAAGCTATGGTTTGCTTTTCATAATGTGAGATACAAATATAAAACATCGTAGCGAATGCAGCAGAAGCAAACGATCCTTAGTATGACAACCACTAACACATAATGGGTTAAACGTATTTAAGTCACCTTAGCTGATATTTCAAGTTGGTATCATCAATCGAATAATGACCCTCTAGTACATTTAAACATGAATAGATCTCAGGATCATTTATTGCTGTGATTAGATTTGAGGAATTTTCCGGAAACAACGGTAACCAGCAACAGAAGGTTGTTAAACATCTTTAACCTTGAGAATCAGTTTAACAAGTCAGCTATAACGTAGGACCAGGCACATATATACATCAGTCCAGGTTGCCATACCGCATTAGCACAGCAAGATGAACACCGAATTCATAGGAGTGGTTAGGTCAAAGGTGGTAATATACAGGAGAAAGATTGAATATAAGGATACAGCACAGGGAGAAAGAATTAGTTAGTAGAAAGAAAGATATGAAGTGATTTTAATCTCTTAGTTTAAGGGAAGACAGTGAGTGTATACACCTACGCCACTGTGATCGATTCTGAGCCATGTCACCAAGAGTCTCCAACCATCGGTTACGAAATTCACGCGGACCCCAACCAAGTAGTCTGCATCTACCAACACGGCTCAGACTATTTTATTTATTATTTATTTGAACACATATATATTGGTACAGGAGTGCGCCAAATATATATGCACCACACAAAACAATGAGAATTTAAGAAGAAGAAAAAGAAAAAGTGGGGCACGTAAAAAAAAGATATATAAAAAAACAATAACGAAGAGATTGGTGTAAGGAAGTGCAATAATAATAGTAATAGTAGGGGAACAGAAGGGTACAATCAGAAGAAATCTTTCAGTTAACGAAGATACAACCACGTTTTATGAAGAAAGTAAAAGAAGGTTACAGCAGGATCGCCACTGGCTTCTATTCTGAGCCATATCTGATAACGTCTCTAGCCACTGTGTAGCACCATCTCTGAGACCCCAACCAGGGAGTCGTGAAGGACCAACACAAGCCAGTCCTTTGCAGCTTTCTTTCATACCACAACACCATGTTATGCACTGACCACCTCTCCGCTTCTTCCAACCAGTCCCAGAGTCGGCAAATAATGCACGACGTGGAATTCTCTGGGACGACATTCGGAGAACATGTCCAAGCCACCGAAGTCGGTGTTTCAAGATGGTGACACCAATTGCATTATCGTCTCTGTGCCCGAACACACGATGCCGAGCCTCTGCGTTACTGACATGGTGTTGCCACTGAATGTCAGCAATCCTTCGGAGACAGCGATGATCGAACACAGAGAGTCGTCTAACGTCCTCAACATGGAGAGACCAGGTTTCACAAGCATAGAGCAAAACTGCTCTCACCGACGCGTTGTAAATCCGACCTTTTACAGCCAGACTAACATCACGAAGGCATCAAAGGTGGCCCAGATTGGCATAAGCCGCTCTGGCATTCACTATACGTGCATTGATCTCATCACTCACACCCCCACCAGCACTTATGCAGCTACCCAGATACACGAACTTCTCGACTATTTCTATCTGCTCACCATCCAGGGTGAGTACAGGATTGGAATCCTGCCAGTCTTGTAGAATTACTTTGCATTTCGAAGGTGCAAAGCACATACCATACCTACGGACACTGATTGCCAACTGATTAAGTGCGGATTGCATGGCTTGAGCATTATCGCACAGTAAGACAATATCAACAGTATACTCAAGGTCGAGAAGTCTTTCTCCAGGCAACAGATCCACACCGCCATTATTTACATCCATCAGAGCTGTTTCCAGAATGTCATCGATGGCAAAGTTGAAGAGGAATGGTGAGATTGGGCAACCCTGCCTAACCCCACTGCTCGAATAGAACAATGGAGAAAGGTGGTTGTATGCCCTCACTCTGCCTGAGGTGTTTGTATATAGGGCTTTTAGGGTGTTAATAAACTTCTCAGGCACACCCTTCTTCAATAGACAATCACAGAGAACAGTCCTATCCAACGAATCGAAGGTAGCCCTGATGTTAAGAAACACTACGATTGTTGGCCTTTGAAAAGTATGACGGTGTTCTAACATTTGACGGAGGGTGAAGATATGATCAATACATCCCCTACCAGAACGAAACCCAGCCTGCTCCTCGCGAGTCAATCTTTCTCGGGTTTTGAACAATCTACGAAGTATGACGGAAGCCAATAGCTTGGACGCAATCGAAAGTAAACTTATCCCCCGATAGTTGTTGCAGGAACGATGTGAACCCTTTTTAAAGATAGGGACAACTATCGACTCATTCCATGTCGTTGGTACGCTCTCTAGTTCCCAAACCTTTGTAAACAACGTCGTCAATTCCTTAGTTAAAAAGTCACCACCATCTTTAAAAAGAGCTGGAGGTAAGTCATCTGGGCCAGGTGATTTGTAACGCTTCAAGAGTTGGAGTTCCTTGCGGACTTCCTCCTCGTTTGGTGGAACAGTCGTCACCGGCCATGGAGGGCAGGACAGTCTGACCGATGTTGCCGGAGCAGCAGGCCAGTTGAACTGCCCTTCGAAAAATTCTGCCCACCGTCCAAGACGTCGATGGATGTTAGTGATTGGCATCCCATCATCCTCGTAGATTGTTTCATTCACACCAGACTTCTTGCTGCCAGTGGCTCGGATGAGCTGGAAGAGCTTCCGGTAGTTACCAGATGCAGCTGCTGCTTCCAGCTCATTAGCACGCTTCGACCACCAGGCTTTTCGGTCCTTACGCAAGCTTTGCCCAATTTCCTTACGTAACATCCTTCGTTTATGGTCAAACTCACGGTCACCCGGAGTAGACCGACGGGCTTCAATGAGTTGTAAGGAACCAGAAGAAACCCAGTGCTTAAAAGCGGGACGTTTCGCAAACCCACAACTGACTCTTCCCGCCATTTTCATGGCGTCATGCAATTGCAACCAATGCTCATCTATACTTTTCGGTGGAGTGGTAGCTAGCCTAGAGGCTAGCTCGGTTCGATACTTACTTGCAACAGAAGTTGCAACCAGCTTGCTAATATCAATCCTTTGCTGGCGGTCACTTCGTTGTCCACTGAAAAGTAAGGCAAGATTGGCGCAGACCAAGGCATGGTCAGAGTCCAGATAGGTACTCCAAAAGGAGCGGCAGTCTTTTACACGGGTGTTAGAGATGGTTGGAAGAGAATTAGGGGCGGCCAAACCAAAACGTGGGCGTCAGTGCTTGAAGACACTAACCTCTAGTCTGAGCCATGTTGTTTACAAAGGTTTGGGAACTAGAGAGTGTACCAACGACATGGAATGAGTCGATAGTTGTCCCTATCTTTAAAAAGGGTTCACATCGTTCCTGCAACAACTATCGGGGGATAAGTTTACTTTCGATTGCGTCCAAGCTATTGGCTTCCGTCATACTTCGTAGATTGTTCAAAACCCGAGAAAGATTGACTCGCGAGGAGCAGGCTGGGTTTCGTTCTGGTAGGGGATGTATTGATCATATCTTCACCCTCCGTCAAATGTTAGAACACCGTCATACTTTTCAAAGGCCAACAATCGTAGTGTTTCTTAACATCAGGGCTACCTTCGATTCGTTGGATAGGACTGTTCTCTGTGATTGTCTATTGAAGAAGGGTGTGCCTGAGAAGTTTATTAACACCCTAAAAGCCCTATATACAAACACCTCAGGCAGAGTGAGGGCATACAACCACCTTTCTCCATTGTTCTATTCGAGCAGTGGGGTTAGGCAGGGTTGCCCAATCTCACCATTCCTCTTCAACTTTGCCATCGATGACATTCTGGAAACAGCTCTGATGGATGTAAATAATGGCGGTGTGGATCTGTTGCCTGGAGAAAGACTTCTCGACCTTGAGTATACTGTTGATATTGTCTTACTGTGCGATAATGCTCAAGCCATGCAATCCGCACTTAATCAGTTGGCAATCAGTGTCCGTAGGTATGGTATGTGCTTTGCACCTTCGAAATGCAAAGTAATTCTACAAGACTGGCAGGATTCCAATCCTGTACTCACCCTGGATGGTGAGCAGATAGAAATAGTCGAGAAGTTCGTGTATCTGGGTAGCTGCATAAGTGCTGGTGGGGGTGTGAGTGATGAGATCAATGCACGTATAGTGAATGCCAGAGCGGCTTATGCCAATCTGGGCCACCTTTGATGCCTTCGTGATGTTAGTCTGGCTGTAAAAGGTCGGATTTACAACGCGTCGGTGAGAGCAGTTTTGCTCTATGCTTGTGAAACCTGGTCTCTCCATGTTGAGGACGTTAGACGACTCTCTGTGTTCGATCATCGCTGTCTCCGAAGGATTGCTGACATTCAGTGGCAACACCATGTCAGTAACGCAGAGGCTCGGCATCGTGTGTTCGGGCACAGAGACGATAATGCAATTGGTGTCACCATCTTGAAACACCGACTTCGGTGGCTTGGACATGTTCTCCGAATGTCGTCCCAGAGAATTCCACGTCGTGCATTATTTGCCGACTCTGGGACTGGTTGGAAGAAGCGGAGAGGTGGTCAGTGCATAACATGGTGTTGTGGTATGAAAGAAAGCTGCAAAGGACTGGCTTGTGTTGGTCCTTCACGACTCCCTGGTTGGGGTCTCAGAGATGGTGCTACACAGTGGCTAGAGACGTTATCAGATATGGCTCAGAATAGAAGCCAGTGGCGATCCTGCTGTAACCTTCTTTTACTTTCTTCATAAAACGTGGTTGTATCTTCGTTAACTGAAAGATTTCTTCCGATTGTACCTTTCCGTTCCCTGATTACTAGCACATTACCTTACACCAATCTCTTCGTTATTGTTCTCTTTTTTTTTGTTGCGCTCCTTAGCTTTTTTTTGTATTGCTCTCGAATTTTCATTGTTTTGTGTGGCGCATTGTTAGCGGGACATAGAGTAGATTAAAGCATGCTCAATGCATGATTGTTTTGGTGCACGCTGATTGGCTGATTCTTATCCAATCAGCACTAGTCGATAGTCGGAGAATACTCTGGAATCTTCTTATGTAAAAACTATAAATATACCGACGTTTTCCCCTATTGTGCTTCTGACTTGCTATTTGGAATATAATCTTTTTTCCTGTTCAACCGTGTTCTGATTTGGGGACTTGTCGAGTGAATCGGTGTCCGAGAATACTAAGCAATAGGAATAGCTGGGTCATTAACCGTAAGCAGAAAGAGAGATTATAACACGCATATATATTGGCGCTCTCTTTTACCAATATTCATGTGTCCAAATAAATAAATAAATAACACCCGTTAGCATTGCACGACGTGGTAATCGGTGTCCAGGCATACGTAACACGTATCCCAATCATCTCAGTCGATGAAGATTAACAACCTCATCAACTGATTTACCATCATTACCTAATACCCTGCATCTAACTTCACTATTACTTACCCGGTGATCCCAGCAGATGTGAGCAATATTTCTAAGGCATCTGTGGTCAAATACTAGTAGCTTACGGGTGTCTTCTACTCTTAAAGGCCATGTTTCGCTGCTGTAAAGTAAAACAGAACGGACTGCCGCGCAGTATACTCGTCCTTTTATTGATAGACGGATATCTCGCCTTCGCCAAAGGTGACGTAAGTTGGCAAAAGCCAAACGAGATTTTCGAATCCGTGCTGAGATTTCGTCCGATACCAGCCCATTACGGTTGATCAGACTTCCAAGATAAGTGAAGTTGTCGTTGCGTTGGACTACTTCACTCCCTATCCTTAGTTCAGGTGTTGATTCAGGCCAGTCCTGAAGCAACAACTTGCATTTAGAGGGAGAGAAGCGCATTCCAAACATTCTGGCTTTGTTGCTTAGTGCTACCAAAAGACTCTGCATTTTATCAGCGTCTTCACCAAACAGGACTGTCATCTGCGTACTCTAAGTCGATAAGTGGACCACCTCCTGGTAGGAGATCAATACCCGAGAATGTTATTTCCATCAGTAGGTCTATGATGAAGTTAAACAGAAATGGAGAAAGTGGACAGCCTTGACGGACACCACTCGAGGTTGCAAAATCAGATGACAGTTCGCCATAAGCTCTGACTCGACTAGTAGTGTTCGAGTAAAGAGCTTTTACAAGGTTTATGTACTTCTGGGGTACGTCTTCCAATGACAGACACTGCCACAGAATCTCGCGGTCTACCGAGTCAAATGCTACTTTTAAGTCAAGAGAGACCACCATTGTCGGACGCTGATAAGTATGCCTATGTTCTAGAACCTGACGAATGGTGAATATGTGGCCGATGCAGCCACTACCAGGTCTGAAGCCAGCTTGATTCTCTCGTGTTTGCAGTTCACGAGTCTTAGTTAGGCGTCTGATAATTATCGAGGCTAGTATTTTAGATACTGTATTAGTTAAACTAATCCCTCTGTGGTTGTCACAGGACGATTTTGACCCTTTCTTATATATTGGGACGATAAGTGATTGCGACCAGTCACATGGAATAACGTCTAACTCCCAGATCTTAGCTAAAATATCAGTCAACCTAATCGCCAAAATTGGACCACCATCCTTAAAGACTTCTGAAGCCAATCCATCTGGACCAGCTGCCCTTCCTCGTTTCAGATTAACTATAGCCTTTTGAACTTCTGCTAGAGTTGGGGGACCTACTTCAATGTTCCATTCACACTGTCTGGGAATGGAGGGTAGTTGTAGAGTAGCTGAAGGCCAGCTGAACTGTTCTCTGAAATGTTCCGCCCATCGTTCTAAACGTCTGGACTGGGAGCAGATGAGAGCATCGTCTTTTTCCGAAATAATCTCACTTACACTTGACTTATTAGTTCCAGTTTCTTTTATTAGTCTGTAAAGCTGTCTTGTGTTTAACAAGCGTAGGACTTGTACTAATGCATTATAAACCCAACGTTTAACAGCTATAATAATGTCACGATGGCCTCAAAGGATATAAACTTCTCAATTATTTTAAGTCGTTCATCACTAGGAAGGAGTGAATGTAAGAATACATCCCTCCCAATATTATGAACGCGTTCTAAACCTCAGTGGTGTTAAATACCTATGACACCTATCTATGTCGGTTTGTAGAGCTTTTAAGGTACCAACAGAATTCACAAGCACCCCTCTCAGTTAAAGAACAGTCGTGTTTAACGAATTAAAAGTAGGTCTCCTGTTAGGAAACACAATGAATGTTGGACAGAAATAAGTACGATACTGTATGAGGGTCTAGAGAAGGTTGAAGACATCCATATATCTACATACTGATACACTCCGACATCTCTTGCGATGGATTTTTATGCACTCTATATAATCTCCCCATTGCGTTGGTATCCAATATTTTACTGACTTCCCATTTAAATTAAGATTATATAAACAAAAGTGATCATGAAGATATGCATTATAATATAGTAGTAATACTAAGTATACTTGATAACTTTTCAAACTTTCTCGAATCGTCTGCATTAAAGAGCTTTCAAACTGCAACGGCAACTTTAAATGCTGATTGAAACTTCGATTCCATTTTGAATGCTTTTTAAATGAAGATACATTAACTCTACAACTGTCTAAAATGTTCCCTCAAGCCTTGTAAAGATCATGGAGTAGAGTGTCCAAACCAAATCTTTTTTGGTAACATATTTATTGTATTTACTAATAAGTTTTTAATCCATTAAGTTGGCTGATATTTGTCAGCCATGAAGCAAGGAAAACTTGTTCCAAATAGCTTGACCTGCCTCTTCAGGAGTTCCGAATATCTGTTAAGGTTGTCATTAGGTGCACTACCCACCTCAGAAATTATCTAGTTGATACCGAACCTTTTACCGCTACTGACATAGATAATTTGGAACATTCCAGTGACCATCACCACCAAGGTACAGGGTTCTGACCAGTTATCACAGTGATCGTGGATCACGCATATGCTGGCACTCACAGTCTGCCATAACAAAGTTGTGGACTTATAAAATTAGTGTAAAACCCTCTGAACCTCATGTCTCCAAAAAAATATTTTTCGAAGCTTCGAACGAACATAAAACCATCATTTTTTAGTTTAAGCTCGAACGGTAGGAAAACAACAGTTACCATATTAGTGAAATCTACGGTAGAAGTTTGAAATACTAGGATAGACTTAATTTACGCGTGCTCATACTTTTATACACACAAAATATCTTGAAGGCGAGTTTTGGTTGAAATCTTTCAGTATAACTAACTTAGAAGTCGGTTATTCCCCACAAAAAAGTCGCATATTTTCCGTTGATGCAAACACAGAAATTAAATCCAATGACAAGGTTTCTTCAATCCAGTTTAATTTAGGAGGGAGACGGTTGAGATATGTGTCACCCATGTTCAGATATTGATGACTGTTTGTAAAGAGACTACGAACACTCATATAAACACATAGCATAAGTGGATGGAAAAACTTATTGCCGTTCTAAACTCTATTAGGAAGTGAATAATTTGCGTCCAGGGTCCGTGAGATAGTCTGTGGTTGGAGACCTTTAAGCGCGATTCAAAGTGCAGATATGTTTACTTTCCTTCCACTCTTATTTTCCAAGTTTCGTCCCAGAACTTCTATTCTTCGACTACAGTCAGTCATAGTTCACTACTATTATTTGAATTATTGATTCCACTTACTTTAGTTCGACTGTTAATTTCGTATATCCAAAAAGAATATGGCAGTTCGAAGTGAGCATAGTACTAAGTTGCTTACCTTTGAATAACTCCAGTAGAAATGTGTGAAAACTTATTTACGCAATACATTTCGAACAATCCGATCACACATATACTTGTTAAGAACATGTGTGATCAGATTGTTCGAAATGTATTGCGCAAATATATCACATAATTCTGACTAAAAAAACTTATTTAATTTGGGTGTGAAAATTAATTACGTTCCGTAATATTTGACTTATCTTTTACTTCATGTAGACCTGAGTAAGGTTTAAGACAATAATTGAACATGTATATGGCAAGTTACAACTATTTAAAAAGGGAAGTTAGCGATTTGAGACTGGTTTGTTTTCACTCAGATTGACACAGCAGTTATATAGCGTAGTGTCTTAACCCATTTTACTGGAAATTACAATCTCATACTAGTTGGTTTCTTCCGTTGAGAAATGTAAGCGATATTACGACAGAGTATACGATCATGAAAACATACCTTCGACTCAGCCTCAGCTAGTAAATCCCTGATAGAGGAGTCTTTAGCGTACATAGCTGGACGGTGACCACGTTCGTTCACTATAGTCGGATCAGCCCCTATAGACATTAAAATGACAGTAAATTAGGAACGTGAAATCAAAATTGTGTCTTGTCATATAGTCACATCGTCTAGGTATTGTCAGAACTCACCCATTAACTTAAGTTGGTAGCATTGTGAGGACCCACACAGTGAACACAAAGAATATTAAGCATCTGACTAACGTGAAAAATCTAGATAACACAAAACCTTAGCTGGAAGTAACTAAAGGCAGCATACCACAACAACGCTTCGAATAACCGACAAATATTTACCTAAGATGATAAACAGGAACAGTAAACTTAAAGGCAAACACCCTGTTATTTAGAAGGATACGTGTCATAAGATTCGACATCAAAAGTAACTAGAGCCCTCTAGCTAATAAAATGGGATTACAAATGAAACCGTTTCGGAAAATTTGGGAGGCGAACAATTCTCTAGATGAATGATCTATGAAGAAATGAACGGTGAATAATGTTTGATGTTATGCTTTGATACTTAGTGCCCATCAAAAATACAATGATAACAGCTGCTTCGTCCAAGTCCTTGGTAAAACATTAGTTGACATTTTAGTAATCTACATACCTCACGCTGGATGACTAGACGGAATAAGTACTTCCACAAAATTAAGTAGCGCTCCGAAACGATGTAATCGTTTCGAGTTAGAAAACCTCAATATTTGTTCAGCTGCGACTTAGTTATGTAGGCACTAGGATCTGAACAACTGGATTTTCGAATAACCCTACCCTATCTGTTCTGGTTAAAAAATTCAAGTAGATTTATCGGCCCCAACAAAATAAATGTGGCCCAAAACCAAGTATAGAATAATGCACTGAGTCGCTGAGTTACGTTTCCGACAGACTATGTGGAATTGTAAAATTCGAAGACCAAATAGCCAGATAAATAATGTCTCCAAAGTGAAGTCAGTAGTAATTGTGCTAAACCGGAGCTGAAGGACAAGAAGTTGTGAAACCCTGGATTATTTCAATGTCAATGATCTAATTTTAGGTAGTTTATTTCCTTATTATAATTCTTGGAAATATGTTTTTACAAAACGAATCTCTTTGCGTTTGACTTAAAGACATAAGATTCTGATTTTTAGGTTTCAATCACTTTTTTTTATCTAAATAACTTACGAATGTACCTCCAAGGCATTTGCTTTGAACATACCCAAAATCATTGCCGAACTAACACATTTGTTTATTTATTTAAACACATAAACATTGGTACAAGGCGGCATCAAATATATATGCACCGCACTTTATCAACCGATTTGCGTGAGGGCTGGAATACTGCCCAGGCGCCCAAACTGAAGCAGGGGACTGAAATATGTAAGTATATGAAGTTAGAAAAACTATGATCTAAAGCTAATACACTCAATGATTTGTTGATATTTACTACACACGTCTTTTTGATGTTGTTTAAGTATTAAGTTATAAAGATTTTACATAGGACTGGTGAGGTTTAACGCAGAAGCAATTTGCAAAATTATGTGTAGCCATCACGGAGTAATTGGTTTGGTGTAAGCTCCCACAATCCTAAAGTGTAATCTGTATTATACATTTTATCATTGATACGCGTACTGTCCTGCATCCACTGACGCAGTCAAGTGAGGTGATTTTATAGTACTAAATGAAAAAAAGAACAGGACAACTTACCAAATTCCAGCAATAAACGAACCAATTTGGAGTCATTTATTAACACAGCATAGTGAAGTCCAGAACAACCACGAAAATCAGCCGATGGATTCAGAAAGTCACTAAACTGTGTGAGCCGTATCCACTCAACTAAGCGTAATTGAGAAGCACAGACAAATTACCTTCCGAAGACATCATTCTCAAATCATGTGCAGTTCTTACGATACCAGCATAATTGTCAACGTCATTAGGATTTGAGCCAGACTTCAACAATTCTTTCACTGCCCTTCAGTTCATTAAACGATAATGAGAAAAAACTACTCGTAATTCCTGGTAACCACTGCAAGCATTAGTGGAGTCCATCCTAAAGAATGTCTATCTTTTACAGCCTCCTTACTACCCTTCAAAATGCTGTAGAAAATTATTAACAAAAACCAAGTAAACCTGGAGAGAGACTTGTTGTTCATAGATAGGATGCATTCGAATATATCAGGGTTTTTGAAGCCTTTAAGTTCCAAACCAATCGTATTGAGCTGAATAGTAGGGAATGCCAGAGCAAATAACGGGAGCTTCATCAACCCCGAAGACGGAGGATAAGCGAAATTCGAAATGAATCGCTTGTATCTGGAAACAACGGAACAAAGTAGAACGTTTCTCCCGATCAAGAGGAACTTGCGTAAGCTGCACGCCCAAATAGTCATTAGGTTTGTCCTTGAGAATCTGAATTATCGGTGACCTTCAGAATCAGTCTTCAGTCTTCAGTAATAAGGATAGTAGGTTGATGAACCTGTGTTAATCCTGACACATTGCTTTCCAGTGAAGGTCCAGCTTTTCCTTGAAAGTACTCGCTGATGGGGCTGATACCACTTGTTCGGGTAAGGCGTTCCAATGATTGACTACTCGATGAGAAAAACGGGATCCCACTTTAAGTTTATTAGATCGTGGTTTATGAACCTTCTTGCTATGACCTCGGAGATTATTAGTGCTGGAGGGAGCAAAAAGATAAGACATATTAACACCCAAATCATAATTAAAGATACGAAATGCCAGTATAAGGTCACCTCGTGTCCTACGATACGACAAGGGGAAAAGATTTAGGCGTTTTAAGCGCTCATCGTAAGGGAGTCTAGAAAGACCCTTCACTAATTTCGTTCCCACACGCTGGACACTCTCAGGGGAGTTAGTATCCTTTACCAGACACGGGCTAGCTGCTTGGATACAGTACTCTAAATGTGGTCTAACATATATGGGATATAAAATTCGAAACGTTTCCTCGTCAAAAGATTTGAACGCTCGGCGAAGTGACCATAACGCACGAAAACCTTTGACAGCGGCTGCTTTGCAATGCGCAGTTGTTTTTAAATCATGACTTAATATTACTCCTAAGTCCTTATGCTCTTGAACGCATGGAAGAGGTTCACCCTCAATAGTGTAACGGTAACTATTACCGTGACCGACGTGCATTAGTACACTCTTCCTAGCATTGATTTCTAAGCCCCACTCTCGAGCCCATCTAACTAAATCGTCTGAGTCAGCTTGAAGATCCACATGATCAGCCGCCCTTTTTATTGTTCTCCAGATTTTTACATCATCCGCAAACAATAATGTCGACGACCTAAGTAACAGTGGTAACTCATTAACGTAGAGAAGGAAGAGCAGAGGGCCTAAGATGGTGCCTTGGGGTACACCACTTTTGACCGGCTTCCAATCGGATAGCGTTCCATTGACCCTAACTCTCTGTCTGCGGTCACATAAGAAATTTCCTATCCACTCATGTACAGTACCTATTATTCCGAAGCTCGTGAGCTTCTGCATAAGACCTACGTGTGAAACCTTGTCAAACGCTTTGCTAAAATCTATGAATATCACGTCGACAGACAGACCGTGATCTAGGGCTGCTGTCCAATCCTCCCTCGCAATAAGTAAGTTAGTCAAGCACGAACGCTTGCTACAAAACCCATGTTGCTCAGGAGCTAACAGATTGTGTGAATCTATGTGACTTAATAAGTTAACCCGAATTATCTTTTCAAGTAACTTAACGACTATGCTAGTTAGACTGACAGGCCGGTAGTTAGATACTATCTGTCGCTGACCGTCCCTAAATATAGGACTAACTATAGCGTCCTTCCAATCTCTAGGGAGTTGAGCGAGTGAGAGGGACATGTTGAAGAGTGTCGCAAGCGGTTTTGAAATAACGTCCGCAAGAGATGACAGCAACCGTGGATGTAACCCGTCAGGGCCAGGTATCTTACTAGGTTTGAGGTTAGTTATCAACGGAAGGACAGTTTCCTCAGTCAGCTGTACAGATTCAATGGTTGGTATCTCGGTGTGAGTGGAACAAGTATTTGTTACAATAAACGTAGAGAAGACTTCGCTAAAATAATCTGAAAAAGTCTCAGCTTTTGCTCGATCTGATTCAGCTAGTAATTCTGAATTTTCGTGTAACAGCAACGGGGGAATACCATCACTACGTTTCATTTGCCGTTTAACATACGAAGACAATCGTTTCGGATAAGTACGGCTATCATATACTAACTGTCGTTCGTAAGTGGTACGGGATTTCGCTATGGTTTTCTTACAGATATTACGGTATTTTTGGTACTCACGCTTAAATGGTGCATGACCTGTCAACAAGAATAAGTCCCAGAAATGTTTCCTATGCTTTAACAGCTTCCGGGTTTCCTTATTAGTCCATGGAGGGCAATGTGATAGCTTACGTGCTGACCATGGGATAAACGGCGACGTTACGGACTCGAATGTAGCCTTAAACTTATTCCATTCATCTTCGATCAATCCATCCGCGTCGACCGACCAATCGGTCGAGATAGCACAGTTTCTGATTTCCGGAATATTAGCTCGCCAGATATTGGGACGGGGTGGAGCAGATACGAATTGTATACCGTGTGTCCTAAACTTAAAGTGAATTACAACGTGATCACTGTTCACTAGTGGAGGAAGGTGCTGGATATCAAAGACATTCTCAGAGTGGTGGGTGAGGGCGAGGTCCAGCAGTGACGGAACATGTTGCAAATCAATATGTGTCGGTTTTGTTATACATTGTACAAGTGCACACTGAATAACGGTAGATAAAAGGTCACTATCGAAACCACTACCTGGAGCTGTAAGCTCTATCCAGTTGATATGCGGTGCGTTGAAGTCCCCAATGATGAGACAACATTCTGCCATACTCCAAGAACAGATGTGTCTTAGGATAAAATCGTCAGCAAGACAAGACGGACTACGGTATATTCCCCCTATAGTCACTAACCCATTTCTAGATTTAATCTTACAACATGCAACCTCACATGTGCCACTGATATGAGCCTCCGATATGGTTGATTGTATACGAAAGTGATCCCTAACGTATAATATTATACCTCCCCCTTTACGACTTGAAACTCTATCACTTCTGATACAGATATAACCAGGAATGAACGGAGAACAGTCTATATCAACGGTGAACCAAGTTTCTGTAACAACGATTATATCGGGACATAATTCTTGCACCATCAGACTTAGCCCGGACGTTTTATTTCTAAGACTACGAGCGTTCGTGTAGCACACACTTAAGGTGTTTTGGCAATCAATCGTTCTACCCATACAGGCCTCGAAATCATTGGCTTCCAAGACCTGACTACCCGAAAACTTTTAATGGTAAGGTTATTTTCGCCATTTAATTTGCGAGTCCTCAACTCCTTAAGAGCATTCTTCCACTTGATTCGATCCTCAAGTGGCCAATCTGGTGGAATATGGATATTTGAGGCACGAGTTTTTAGTGCGCTTTTCAATAATATGTCTCTTTCTTCGAAACTCCCGAGAACCAGCTTCAGGATCCTTCTTGGTTGGGTCTCGCCTCCAACCCATTTACCAAGTCGTATTACTTTTGTAATATGTACCCCTGAAACCTCTTCAGGTAGTACATTCCTTACCACAGACTCCACTAACTGCAGGTCATATGCATGTCTTCTAGCAGGGTCGTTGTCTTTCGACTCCTCTAGATTCCAAATAATTAAACTAGGGATGGGTTTAGCTTCTTTTGAAACTGTGTTCACAGCTCTCGACCGTGACGTTAGATCCTGTATTTTAACTACTGGTATCTTACGATTAGTTTTTATTTTAACAGAGTCCTGGGAGTCAAGCGAATGACTCACAACAATGTCAGACGAAGCTTTACTATGGGACTTTGGCGGATTGGTCTGAGAGTCCACCAAGGACTTACCAAGTAAACAGTCATTAGTTTTAGCTATCTTTCCTACTCTTCTGCGTTTTCGCGTCATCCATTTTCCATCAGTCGAAACGTCTACATTAGAACAACTCGGGACAGTAATTGTTTTATCTGGGTCACCGGTTGCTGCTGTAGCAATATGGCCACCAACGTCTAATGACGTGCCACTCACTGATCGTTTCGGGGGAGAACGTTTAACTGCGGGTTGCACAGGTAGATGTCTGGCTTGCGCCGTGATAGCACTTACGACACTAACGCAATCTTCGCCATCCGCACCAATGTTATCAGTACAGCCCTCATCAACCTTCTTATTAGCCAACACCAGGAGACTAATTGCTTCCTGGATAAGCAATGTTTTGCTCGAGCAACAAAAACTACAAAGTCAATGAGAGTTGGGCTTTGAACACCTTTTATATGCAGTGGGGCTTAATCGGGTGCACATCTTATGGAACCACTTATTACACTCATCACATTGCATCCCTTCATCCACGGGAAATAAGCAGTATGGTTGTCCACATTTATGAGTACACCTAGCCATCTTGAAAATCTACTAGAACGGTGACAAAAACAGGATATGTAGAAAGATTTTCAAACCTTAACTAAATAAACCAAGTAAAAGTCGACCAAGTATGCTTCGATGCAATAAATACACAGAAGCAAAATCGAAAAACTCAATAAAATATCACTTTAACTGGGGTAGATGCAATTAAAGTGTTAACAGTAGTTTTGATGCGTAATTTACGATCAAAACAGTTAATTAACTCAACGAGAAAGAATACCACTGTCCTTTTAAATAGAGCGCGTAGCATGTGTGTAATGAAGGCAGAAGGCCTACGGCTTATGTTAGTCCTTTTCTAGGAAGCTAATATGAGTACCTAGGCTTTTTTGAATGAATCAATTGAATGTGCGGACACAATAGGTTCGGATAACAGGTAGTAGGAAATGATTACTCGGTATGACAACTTGTATGCCACTGGTATTTTGTTCGTCCTTGACTTTTCTACTCGCCTACTATGTCCTCTGAGGACACCAGGAAATCCTGAAGTCCTTTAAGGAGTGGTCACTTTTTGGAAGAAATCTATAGGAATCAGGGATAACTGCTCAAAGTTTGGGAAGAGTTTTACCTGCAGTTTGAGGAGCTTTCGAGATACGTATGAGAGACACGAGCCAAATCCGCAAAGATAAAAAATGATACACTCTGGAAACAACCAGGTTAATCTTCCATTATAGTTACTCACATATACGTCAACGACACATACGTCCAAGGATATCGGAAGGGACATAAGATTGAATGTTTGGACAAGGAAGACAACGAAAAATGGGACCCGCCGCAGTCCAGTTCTCGGGTTACAAGTGGACCTAATGAGAAGATCTTATTCCGGGGAGGTATTTGGAAGGTTTTCGAGAACCACGACGGAGCCTTCAGTAGTACTAAAGGAGTCAAAGGGTTTTGACTCAATCAGAACCTGACGGAGCTTTCTAGAATATCAACGTGGCATGCTACGGCTGGA